CTAAAGTGGGACTAGAACTCCCAGTCTCCTGGTGATTGGCCCAAAGTCAGCTGGCTTTCATGTCTAAAGTGGGACTAGAACTCCCAGTCTCCTGGTGATTGGCCCAAAGTCAGCTGGCTTTCATGTCTAAAGTGGGACTAGAACTCCCAGTCTCCTGGTGATTGGCCCAAAGTCACCCAGCTGGCTTTCCTGCCTAATGTGGAACTAGAACTCCCAGTCTCCTGGTGATTGGCCCAAAGTCACCCAGCTGGCTTTCATGCCTAAGGTGGAACTAGAACTCCCAGACTCCTGGAGATTGGCCCAAGGTCACCCAGCTGGCTTTCAAGTCTGGGGGGAACTAGAACTCCCAGACTCCTGGAGATTGGCCCAAAGTCACCCAGCTGGCTTTCAAGTCTAAGGTGGAACTAGAACTCCCAGACTCCTGGAGATTGGCCCAAGGTCACCCAGCTGGCTTTCAAGTCTGGGGGGAACTAGAACTCCCACACTCCTGGTGATTGGCCCAAAGTAGCTATCATGCTTAAGTGGGACTAGAACTCCCAAATCCAAGGTCACCTAGCAGCCTTCCGTAGCTAAGTTGGGACTTGAACTCACAGCCTGGTGCCTTAATCATCAAACTAGTTGGCCACCTCTGGCCTACAGAGAGATGTTGGATACTGGGCTCATTTTTTTCTCCTTTAATCTAACATTACTTGATATTATTGGGCAGTGATGGCTAATCTTTTTGCCATTGTGTACCAAAAGTGTGGGGGGGGATGCAGGGGGGTTGTGCGCAGGCGTGCCCACACCCATCATACTATGTGTGTGACACCCCCACGCATGTGCATGGGCCCGCCCCCCACGCATGGGTGTGTGACCCTTGCTTTTGGGGCACGATGGAGCCATTTTTCTCCCTCCTCAGGCTCCAGAGCAGTGTTTCTAAATCTTGGCAACTTGAAGATGTCCGGACTTCTGGGGAATTCTGGGAGTTGAAGTCCGGACATCTTTAAGTTACCAAGGTTGAGAAACACTGCTCCAGAGGCTTTCCAGGATCCTGGGGAGGGTGAAAATGGCCTGCCCAACACCCCCAGAGGCCTTCTGGATGCTTCAGGAGGCTTCCCTGAAGTCTCCGGAGGGCAAAAAACGCCCAACGGGCATACTGGAAGTCCGTTCCCGAACTTCCGGTTTACGCATTGGGTTGTTGTTCACCCTCCGGAGGGTGAAAAACTGGCGAAAATGAAGGCCAAAGTCAGCTGGCCAGCACATGCATGCACACTGGAGCTGACAGGGCAATGCCTCGCATGCCCTAACAAATGGCTCTGAGTGCCAGCTGTGGCACACGTGTTATAGGTTTGCCATCCCGGTTATAGGGGCTGGAGCAGTTGTCAAATACGCACAACCTTTCCTTAATTGCAAGCCACACCAGGTAAAGTTTCTAAATTTCCTCCCAGGCTCTGCAGCATTTTTTTTAGTCCGACTACCCACAGTTTGAGCTCAACTCTTAGCTCACTGCCCCGAATAGAGCTGCATAAACCTGGGTTCATGGAATAAACCACGATTGGGTTAACCATGCGGCAGGAACCGAGGACCAATGAATCTTTGAAGCCACTTGTGCAATTATTTTAAGGGGGTTGGGCTTTGAATGCAGAGATTTTCCCGTGTGATCATGCTTGGGTGATCGTACTATGATAAAGGGGGCACTCGTAATTTAAGTAATATTGTCTTGCTTTTTTCCACTGGGTTGCTTCTGCTTGGGGATTTTAAGCAGCTTCCCAATTCCTTTTCCCCAGGAATTTATTAACTCCACAGCTTGTGAATAGAATAGAATTGTTTATCGGTCAAGTGTGATTGGACACACAAGGAATTGGTCTTCGGTGCATAAGCTCTCAGTACATGCAAGCAACAAATGATCAATCTTTGATCATAATATTTACTGAGCGTTATTTGTTGTGGTCTAAGACTGTAATAAATTGATTGATGATTGATCAGAATAGAATAGAATTAGAATAGAATTGTTTATTGGTCAAGTGTGATTGGACACACAAGGAATTCGTCTTCGGTTCATAAGCTCTCAGTACATGCAAGCAGCAAATGATCAATCTTTGATCATAATATTTACTGAGCGTTATTTGTTCTGGTCTAAGACTAATAAATTGATTGATGGATGATTGATCATAATACAATAGAATAGAATTAGAATAGAATTTTTTAATGATCAAATGTGATTGGACACACAAGGAATTAGTCTTTGGTGCATAAGCTCTCAGTATACATTAAAAATACATTCATCAAGAATCATAAGATACAACACTTAGTGGTAGTCATAAGTTACTAATAAGCAATCAAATCATACTAGGAAACAAACAACAATATAAATAGTAAAAATACAAGCAACATAGTTATAGTCATAAGTGGGAGGAGGTAGGTAATAGGAAGGATGAGAAGAATAATAGTAATGCAGTCTTAGTAAATAGTTTGACAGTGTTGTGGGAATTAGTTGTTTAGCAGAGTGGCGGCGTTGGGGGGGGGGAACCTGTCCTTGTGTCTAGTTGTCTTGGTGTNGCATTTCAACCATTTTTCAGTAAATAAACCACTTCTGCACAATATAATTAGCAAAAGTCAAAATACCTTAGTGGGCACAATGTGTAAACCCAGTCAGTGAGACTTACTTCCAAAGAGATAGATGGATGGACGGACAGACAGAGACAGAAGGACAGACAGACCCAGACAGGCACATAAATTGAAGTTAGGACAACAAATGCTCTAAAATCTTCGCTTGTTTTAGTGTACGGGTGTCAAACTTGTGGTGTCATGTTGCTGTCACGTGATGTTTTGCAACGTTTTCCCTCTTCATGGAGCTGGGGTGGGCATGGCCTGCACATGACGCATCAGACCCACAGGTTCGGCACCCGTCTTAGCGCAAAAGCCAAACAAATTACTCATATTCCTATTAATTGTTTTTTCTAGTGATGTTTACCCTGCTAGAAGTCACTTTCTTCAATGACAGCCTTGCCCAGTTCCAGTCTTTAAAGCCTTGGTGGGATGTTCTGATGGACTATTTGGTACTAGCAATGCTGATGATTTCTCTTCTCTCAGGGACTCTATTAATCTCTGTTGATAAAATGACTTGCCTTCCTCTGAATAATAAGCTAAATGAGACTTCAGCAGTTGTATCCAAGCTTCGAGATGTGGATCAAATCATCAGTGAAGACCTTCCTGTGGCAAACAGTCATCGCTCAATCAAGCTGGACTACCAACAGTATCTATACATCAGCTATATCTGTTATCAGAAAGTTCTGCCCTGGTTTTTGAAGTATTTCCCTTACTTTGCACTTGTCAATTCACTGTTCTTAATGGCAAGCAACAACTTCTGGTTCCGATATCCTAAGACTTCATCAAAGATTGAACACTTTTTGTCCATTCTGATAAAATGTTTTGAGTCACCTTGGACCATCAAGGCTCTCTCTGAAATAGGTTGCCAGAACTTCCTAGGTACGCGCACAAATAATGTTAAGATGGGGTATCTAGGACAATTCAAGTCTCCTTCCCCATCTCCCATCCTAGATTCAAAAGATCGGGAACTTGGCCAGGCCCTTTTTGAGAAGATCCGTAGATTCAGGGCACACACTGAAGGTGGCAGGATGATTTATAGAATCTATTTGGGACAAACCATCTTCAAAACTGCAAAGGTTCTAACTGTGCTAGGTTATACTTTCAACTGTGTAGGATCCATTTCCTTCAAGCATCTTTGCCTGGCCGACGTACAAAACGTCATTGGCTACTCTTCATTCATCTGTACCCATAGCCTGGCTTTCATTCTGCAGAAATTGATAGCTACTTATATTTTTTTAGTATTCCTGTATGGAATTGTGGGGGTTTATTCATTCCTATGGCTTTTGTGGCAACCACTGCAGAAATATTCTTTTAAGCAAGCACATGAAGACTGTCGTGTCTTTGATATCCCAGATGGACAGAATGATTTTGCTTTTTTGCTACACATGGCTGACCAGTGTAATCAACTCTATTCATGGCGGCTTGCTAATTTCTTGTCAGCCATGCACAAGAATGACATGCTGGATGCAGTCTCCAGTGGTAAATTGGGAACAAAAGATAAGGCTGGTTCCCAGTATCCTCCCCTATCATCAAAATAAAACAGATATTCTTGTATGTAAGTGAATAAGCATTCTATTTTACTCCTTGCTAAACGTTATGCCTTACAAGAAGAGAAAGTTATTTTGGAAGCAAGTCATATGATAATATACCTAGAATGAAACATTTATCCTAAGAGAAAATAAGTTTAAAAATTGGTAAGTAGATAAATCACCAGGTCGTACATTGACTATAGTGGGCTTCGAGTATAAAATAAAAGACCTGGTCTGACAGTGGTTAACTTATGGCCAAGTCCCTCAGCTTAAAAAAAAAAAGATATCAGTGCTTCTTATTTTACAAACAAAAAAGGGAGCATCTTCCATAAATTGAGAACAGGAAATGGAAGAGGAGGAAGTAGAGGAATGCCAATCCTGCTCTTCCATAGGCAATAAGTGAAGAGAAACACACTGAACAAAATTCAGGCTAAATCTACAGCACATTTCATTGCAACCAATACTGTTACAGAAACTGGATGGACTACAACAAAAGGGTCAATTTCTCTGACTAAAAAACCAACATTGGAAAAGCATTTTCCCCCCTTTCCTTTTAAGCATTCGAGATTTGTCAGTAAAATGAAGAACAAGTGATAAATATATATCAGAGGAATTTAAATGAATAACTCTTACCATAGGATCTGATTTTATTTTTAATTACTAACATGATTACTATGAGAGATTATGGGAAGTGGGAAAGTCATGGAAGCAACATTGGATATAAAGCATCAAGAGATAAGAAAGAATTTGGTAATAAACAACAGCTAAGCCCAGGCTGCAAAAGGCCTAGGAAGAAGAAATTGATGGTTCAAAGACACATAAATCTTAATCAACTAATGCAAGAAGACTGGGAACTTGCTGCTATTTCCAAGATTCTCCAATTTACTTTCAGTCCTAACATTAAACACACTTTATAGAAGTCTATGTAATTCTTGCTTCGTTGTCTGTTCCTTGCTGGGAAGAGCTACATATCGCCTGCTGAAAAGACTCTAATAAAGGTTTGTTAGAAACTATGTGTTTCTACGTATGTGTTTGTTTCACCCCAACGTTTTTTTGAGAGAGAATCAATATATGCCAAAAGTAGGAAATTTGTGTTGCTCACAATATTCTCCATTGGGGGAGGGTGGGGACAGTGGATCAGCTATCCTTGGCCTGATCCTAAGTAATAAAAAAGCTTTGTTGAGGAAGTAAAAGTAGCAAGAAAGATAATCACATAATTGCGAGAATTCTTAATGTTAAGGGTAACCAAAAACGAGTTTAGTCAAGATACATGTTGGACTTTAAAAGGATTTTAATACTGTAGATCAATATTCAATGGGATGTCATGGCAGGGGGAAAACACTCAAAACAGATGCAATGCTATTATATAAAATGAGATTCACCCTACTCAAAAGACAAAAAGAATGGAGGATAGCTGCAGAAGCTAAGATGCTAGCTACAAAAAGTTTGGTGGAAACTGAGCAGGACACGGAGGAGGGGGAAGGCTGCCAGTTGCTAATAGTAATAGCTCAAACCTCATCACCCAGAGGAGATGGATTCTCTTTTTCCTTCACCTTCCCTGGATGTATTTGAGCAGAACACAAGGAAGCAGCAATCTCAGAACACTTTGAAGCCCACAACCCTGAAGTATTTTTGTGCATTGATAGAAAAGTATCTTGTCAGTCAAAAATAGAAGGGAGGGGGAAAAAGGATCATGGTGTGCCATTTTACCTACATTTATTCAATTAAAAAAAGTTCCTGCAAAGCTGCAACTTTTTTGTCATTTCTCTTTGGCTACTTAGGTTCTAGGGACAGTGCTGGTTGAGGCTGACATGAATGTTGGAGCTGGGCATGGGGTTGTGGCTCTTATGTGCAGAGTAGCTGGGAGTAGTGCAGTCACTGGCTCAATGGAGGAACCCTGTTGAAAGATGTGGCATTCCACGTACCCCTCACTCCTACCTTAGCCCCAGGTCATTGCCCTCAAATCTGACCCCCTTTGTGGGGCTTTCCTTCCAATGCAGTCAAAATCTGGGCAAAGCTCTGTCCAATGGAGTCATCTGGGCATCTGCTCTCCTTCTGCCACCATTCCAGCAGCTCTTTCCTGTTAGTTTTAGAAACAGAAATATGGCTCCCTGTCTGGTCTGAGACCAGTATGTATATTCTCTGTTTAATTGTCCCAAAGGTGCTTTTTCAAGAGGCAATTGGGCTTTCTTTATTTTTCCTTGATGAGGTTTTGCTTCTCATCCAAGAAGCTTCTTCAGTTCTGGCAGTTCTGTTTAATTATTGCAAAGTTATATAAAGGAGAATATCTGTAGTTCAGGTTTGAAAGGAGAGATCCTTTGTGTTCTTTGAGTTTGTTGTTTACTTTCAGATGTATCATTGTCAGGACTAGGTGACATCATCAGTATATTATATTATAAAGATCATAGTTGAAGCCATTTGAAATCAGAAGCCATATGCCAGGAATAGGAAAGCCCATGGGCAGCTTATGGTTTTGGCCCTACTTTGCACCCTCTCCTGAATACCTTCTGATGAGCTAATTGCAGTCCCCCACAGTAAATACTGAGTTGAAGGCACTCCTCAGTCCCCCAGCTACCTCCCAATAGCTGGCAGGTGCTGAATCTAAATACTGCTCACAATTAAGCAATATTTCTTTAGTCTGCATTACTGTAAACATGTCCTTTTCCAGTTCTTGTATTGTTATGATCTTTTCCAGTCTCCTGATTGAAGAAGACTTCACCGAAAGCAGCAACCAAGCCAACTATGGTCAGGGATCATTACATATCTAATGGTCTTTTACAGCTCTATAATGCAACTCATGGATGGTTTTCATTGGCAGATTAAGAGTACATAAATCAGTTCAATTCCTGTTTGGAATGATGGATGCATAGTTACACTAAACTCTTTGATTTATCCCTTCCTTTACATCCTGCCTATACGCTCAGAAATAGTGACCATTCTGACTTACTTTTTAGCACTAAAGGGATCAACTGGGAGATGATTATCTTGGGAAAAATTGCTAATCCAACGAGAAAAATCTTTAAATAGGCAATACAGGATCTTAAGGTGTTAAGAGCGATATATGACAAACAAATGATGCATTTTGGTTTTTCTTTTGAATTTAATTTAAATATATTTATAATCATTCTCTATTGGTTTAATATCCTTTCCTTGTCACATTAACTTTAAGACGTCCCTGGACATCTGTGTTAAACCATGGTTCACTCATCCACAACAAGCCCCATAATTACAGGAAACCCCGTTAACTAGATGAACTTGATACGTGAGCCACAACATACAAGTGGATAAGCGAGCCACAATTTGGCTTAGTCGAATATGAAAACGCAGCTTTGAAGCCTCGGATGGCCGCAATAAGAAAGCCGAAGACAGATGGGCGGTTCGATCAAGCTCTCGGCAGGATCGCTTGGCAAAAGTTCACCGAGATCAGCAAGGGGCGCCACCCGCCAGACGCTGTCAAGACTCCCCGTGGGTGCCGGGACAGGCACAGGGAAAGGGAAGCCGGTTTCAGCCTTGCGCATGCGCGCGAGTCCTTCCTGCGAGGCAAAACAAGCGCAGGGCAAACCGGGGCCGGAGGAGGAAGGAGGAGGAGGAGGAGGTTGGAGTTACGGTGGCCTGGTTGGTTCGCACCGCGGCTGCGCGTTGCGGTGTTTGTGCATTCTGGCTGCGCGGCGGCGGCTCCGGGGGAGGGGGGGGGAAGATGGCAGCGTCCTCGTTGGAGCAGAAGCTGTCCCGCTTGGAGGCCAAGCTGAAACAGGAGAACCGGGAAGCCCGCCGGCGCATCGACCTCAACCTGGAGATCAGTCCGGCCCGGGCTCGGCCTAGTAAGGGAGGGGAAGAGGGGCCCTGCTTGGCTATGGCAGGCCCAGCTTGGAAACTGAACGGGTTGCGGGGGGTGGGGTGGGGAAGGGAGATGCCGCCAAGAGGGTGCGGGAGGGACGGGACAGAAGGGAAAGAGCTGAAGCCCCAAGGCCTGTTTCCCTGAGCCTGGAAGGAAGGAAGGAAGGAAGCTGGGAAAAGGGAAGCCCAGGAACTGCGCCTCGAGTTGGGAAGGAAAATAAGGGAAAAGAGTGGAAGGGGAAGGAGGAGTTTGGTAGGAAGAGATGCGTAGGGTAAGTGGAAGCCCCTAAGGTGGGCATGTCCTGGATTAGGGGGGTCCTTGAAGCCCAATGTCAGAGTTGTTCACAGTTAACCCTAAATACGAGGTAAAGGTAAAGGACTGGCTGAAGGGGGTATCAGCATGGACACATCCACCAAGTTGTTTAGTGGGTGTTGCAAAGCCGTATTTGCAATACACGAGCTAAATGGGACACATTGGGGTGGTTTATAGTTATCTCACTGGAGAAGAGCCTAATGCTGGGAAAGATTGAGGGCAAAAGAAGGAGGGGATGACAAAGAATGAGGTGGCTGCATGGAGTCACTGAAGCAGTAGGCCTGAGCTTAAATTGACTCCAGAGGATGGTAGAGGACAGGAAGGCATGGAGGAACGTGGTCCATGTGGTTGTGATGGGTTGGACATGACTTCGCAACTAACAACAACATGGTTGTCTAATTGGTTGTCTATAGTTGGCGAACACACGGATACAGGCTGCGTTCACAATCTGTAAAACATCAGTTGGGGCAAAGGGAGAACCTAGAGATGTGCAGATGAATGGATGATGATGATGATGGTGGTGGTGGTGATGGTGATGATGATGATTATTTAAAAAGGACTTTGAAAGAATCACACTAAGGCTGAACGGTCTTTTAATGTAGAGGAATGAAAGCACTGGACTGAGAATGCTTTCAAAGCTCAATTGTGTGCTTAAAAATATTTAGAGTGTCTCTGCAAGATTGGTGCCTGTGTATGTCTGAAAAGAGTGATATCCAAGTTCCAGGCTAAATATAGGATGTTTTGTATTACTTGCTTACAAGTAACAAGTCAGTTAAAGCCTTAGCTCTTATACTGCGTACTCACAAACCTTGGATATTGTTTTCCTCAAAATTTCATGTTGGGTTGGTTCTGAGTTGAAATGGTGATTCGTTGCATCACAGAAAATAGATGAGTTTATTAAGTAGGATAAACATTTTGATTGAATCCAGACAGTAATCAGATTAAGTATGATATTCAGGGCTTGTTCATTTAAGTTAAAACTGAAAGGTTGTTTCATATACATTCAGATTTATCTGTATTTTTATTCATTTCCAATGGCTGGACATTCTCCATTTCTTTTTGACATATTGTCCTTTCCTTGCCTAATTCTTTGTGGGCAATGCTGTTAAATATAGTATCCACACACCTGCTAATGATAGAACTGACTCAGAATATTAGAAGAATTATACACAATTACATGACTGCTCTACAGTATTTGCGTTTGGCCAGCCAGCCCAGATGCCTACAGAAAGGCCTATAAACTCTAAATTGCTTTTCTACTTTTTCTCATGTTGCATTTAAACATGTCCATCATGTTCTGTTTCTGATTTGAAAAACTTCAGATCTTATAAGATTGGTTACAAATCCCTAATATGTTTGAAGTGGGCCAAAATGGCTTAACAATGGCAAATTACACAGTGCCATGTTCAGTTTTGAGGCTCATTTGAGGTAAATCCACCTAAAACCTGTTCAGAGAGAACAGGAGAATTGAGTATACAGAGAACTGAGATGGAATTGAGTATCCTGAGAGCAGAAGTGGTGAAACTGATTCAGTAGGTAAACTAAAATCACAGTTTTTTCTTCATTAGCCATACTAATTGAGGATCCTATGAGAAAGATGATGGTTGGACCAATCTTGTGTGGAAGGATACTATGTTCATACAGTTTGTTGTGCAAATAAAATCTATCTACATATATGACTGCCATATGAATGGCAGTTACATGAAATATATATCCATGGCTATCCCACATACCTAAGAAAATCCCATAGGAATCTTGGAATA